TGCCTCCACTGGATGACTTAGAGCCCCTCGCAACTCCATCTTCAAAGTGATTGTGTCAGATCGAACCGAATTTCCCGGCACTGTACACCATCAACCATCACATGTGGGGGGGGGGGGGAATGATGGGGTCGTGAAAATTTAGAAGTAAGCTAGATCTCACTTTAGACCTTGATACTTCAAATGGCACACCGGTCCTGCTTTTGCTTCGTTGCTCCGATTACAGGGTCTATGCTTTCTCACCTTTTTAAACTTGTCCCGCAAACTTTGGCGAGAGTCAAAAATTAAAAGGGAATTATTGATTTACCTAAATTTAAACATTTCCTAAAATGATCCATTTTTAGACTGCGGCTCGTGCTGGGCATTCGGTTAGTTTGTTCTTTGATTTCTTCTTATCAGTACGCTTATCAGTAGATTTTGTGGTCAGAGAAAACGTCAATCCAATAATTTTTTCGTGATATGAAATAATTTGGAAAAAAACGATGATTCCCAGTAAGAATACAAATCAGAGCTTTAATGCGTACTTCACGGTACACTCCATGATTAGTTTGGATGGGTCGATCCCGTTGATGGGTAATATGTAGTTGTCCACTATCATCTCTGATCTCCCGTTCCGCCGGCTCGAAAGCGCGCGGCAAGGGCACTACGAAGCCGCTTCCACTTCTCATTCACAACATGCGGGTGTCTGCACCTTCACATCCATTTTCCTCTCTCATCTATCCTCTCTCCTCCGCGCTCAGTGTCTCACTAGCCTTCATACGGCCGAATTGCAAAAATAAGGAAGCACTTAACGTAGACTCCAACTTCTCTCTTCGTAGAACCTCGGCATTGTTGTAATTATAATGTTATTCTTCTGCCAACGAGGTTGTTAGGTGGAACTTTATTAGTGGCCTGACGTTTCGACGAGATCGTCTTCCTCAAAGGCCCAGTCCACCACCGCAAGAGCAGAACAGCGCCACTCCAGGTTAGTTATGGTTAGTAACTCTAACTTACTACTACTAGTAACTCCAACTTACTATCCATAACTAAACTGGAGTGGCAGAATCAAAGACTGGTCCTTTGAGGAAGACGATCTCGTCGAAACGCCAAGCACACTGGAACTTCCACCTAACCACCTCGTGCAGAAGAAGTTACATTATAGGAGCAGACCTAGTTGTGGGGCTCTTCACAAATCTTTTTTTCTATTGCTAGCCCAGTTTGGACCCCTGCTTTCAATTTAGTATGGCAGAATCAAATAAACCCATCGTGGGGAGTGCCATTGAATTCATGGTAGGAGATTATTGCGGTTAAATAGGTGTAGCGCAGTCATGTCATCACTTTGTGATTGGTCAGTAGTCGTAATCGACCACTAATGGGCTGCGTTACCCCGACGCAGCCATGGGTCATGTTCCTTCCACGCCACGCCCACTCACACTCGAAATATCGCTTACAGTATCTGGATTTAACTCAATGACGGCAGCCCGTTGTTCGTGTGTTTCGGCATTGCTTTTTGATACTTTTCTAAAACCAGTATTGCATTTGAATTATTTCGTTACTGGTAATGGGTTATCGCTTTTTCTGTATCCAATGATGCAGACGAACAACTTCTTAACATAAAAATACAAAGCAAATTATGTGAAACCATGTCCATTCGCGCGAAAATCTGACGCGCATGCGCGTCATGCTGTCGTCATTGTGTTAAATTCCAAGGATCCGCTGCATACGCTGCATTATTGCTAGATAGGAAGAAGAAGAATTCTTAGCTTAATTATTTTTTATGGGATTACAGTTACTGTGTGAAGTATAATATATTATACAACTATACATATGTTTTCCTTACTTTTGAAAAAAATGAAAAAAAATAAATTATATGTGATTCAAGGAGCAACTTCTGCCCTGGCTGATCGCATAAATATCAAACGAAAGAACGCATGGCCATCGGTGCTTATCTTTCTGTGCAGGTAAGCAACTAGAAACTTAATGACGGTCAGAAGATACCATCGATAGAAGGAGAGATACCCATTAAACAGAAAAGCCTCTCTCAAAAAAGATTTCAAAAACATTTTTTAACTTCAACTCAAAAACTTTGAATCCATTTCACTCTATCACAAAGCGTTTTAAGCGTAGCGGGTGCGACGTTTAGTACCTTGCGTGGCCAGCCGAAGAGTATCAACGCAGCTACGCTAGGTTTCACTCCGCCTTCACTCCATCACCGGAAAAATCAATGACGGAACAGTTCTTTGATGAAGTAATGAGTGCAAATGAAATTGACTGATTTCTAGAAAAAAAATGCAAAAAAGGATTGGGCTCCTATCGAAGGGAAACAATTGTACGAGCACAATCGTTGTTGCCGAATCGTCCAAAACGCGCAAAGGACTATATTGCTCAATCGATGCGTTTATTTAAATCAATTGGACTCGTCTAATTCCGGCACACTTCTTGCCACAAGTGGGCGAATCACAATCGCACTCAGTGCCGTTTCACGCACAGCGTCGCAGTAGCGAGTGCTCCAGCGATTCACACGTGTTGACTTGCGGTCGCGCTGCGGATGGCGCGTTAACCCAAATGTTCCTGACACACCTCAAATCTGAAGAAAGTTGTGTCTCAGGCTTAAGTGGCGTATCGTGTGTACTGTAACGCAGATCCTCATAAGCCATCATTAGTCATACCAACACTACAGTATATTTCATTTTTCGTAACTAGATTCTCGACTTCTGGCAACGGGGATCCTACAAAAAGTAACAAACCCATCTATCTCCACTTCCCCTCTTGCTGAGTGATTTTTCATTTTTTTTTATGTTGATGTTCAGGAAGTTATTGATTGCTCTGGAGCTGGAACATGTGTTGCCGGTGGTGAACCGGGCGGTGTCTACAAGTACGCTCATGAACATGGAATTCCGCACGAGACCTGCAACAATTATCAGGCCCGTGATGGACGTAAGTTGAAGGACTCACAAGGCAATTATCACTGATATTGTGACTACCTGCCAATCAACTTATCAATGGACCAAACGTTCCCCCAACAATCGCTTCAATTCCCTCATTAGATGATAACCGCATAGAACTATCCACAAAATCGTTAGTTGTAGTGCGCCACATACTCCTCATTTCGTTGAGAATTCTTCAGAAAAGTATCCATTTCCGTGGGAGTGAGGTGTTTCAGACAAAGGGAGAAGCAATGAGGATCCAGAAGTACAACTATTTGTTTTCTATTTTCCACAATAGAACTATTCTAATGAAGTTCAGGATGCGATCCTTACAATCGATGCGGTTCATGCTGGCCAGGCGACTGCTTCTCAATCAAAAACTACACCCTTTACAAGGTCAAGGAATACGGTAAGCAAAATGATCTTGAAAGTATTTTTATTATTTATTTATTCAAACTATTATTATTTATTCAAAGTAAATTTTGCAGCGAATATTAGAGAAGATAATTTCCAGCTTTCCAATCTTTACCACACAAAGCCCGCTGTTCCTCAGAACCTGACCTTGCACCGAATTTTCATCCAGAGGGAAAGAGACAAAGCTTTTCATGGATCATAATTACTCAGAACATTGAACCAAATCGAGATTAGGCAGGAGCATTCTTAATGTTCAGGATAAAAAGGCTTAATGCATTCGGCACTGGTCAGTTCCTTTCTGGGATGCGCCAGGTAGATGAAATTCAGCACAGAACTATACAGCCATTCCAATGGGACAACCACATGACGAAGGTGATAAGTGTGCGGATCGTTATTTCTCTCACAGCTGAAGAATACACCGATTAGCTCCTCCTGAGGAAGTGGAAAGCCTGGTCGAATCGAGCGGTGGGGGCCTCGGAGTAGGCGTAAAATTGAATAAAAGTGGTGACATCGCTTCAAGCGCTCGGGAATCTAAGGCCGATGTCAGACTTTGCGAATCGCGCGATCGCTAGTAGCGAATCGCAAAGTCTGACATCGGCCTAAACAGAAATGATGGTGCAACAAGTTGAAGTTCAATTTTTACAGTAGCGTGGCGGCTAACCGATACACGAACAATCACTAGGCTATATATATAGTTAATCCATAATTCAGGTACGGTAAGTGGAATTGATAAAATGAAGGCAGAAATCTATCACAATGGACCGATCGCATGCGGAATTGCCGCCACGAAAGCGTTCGAATCGTACGCAGGAGGAATATATAAGGTGGGTTCGCTACAGATGGTGTCTACTCCACATTTGCATTTCGCAACGAGGCCAGCCCAAAGAGCACCAAAAAAAAAAGACTTCTGTAAATAGAAAAACATGATCAACATCTACAAAGGATGAAGTTCACTAATGTCTTTCCAGCGATGTCTCCAGAATTACAATAGAAAAAGCGTTGATTTTGAATGCAAATTGATAAATAATTACGGTCAAAAACCAAATATGGACTCGAAGAAAAGATTGGAAACTCTACATTTGTAATTTTTCATGAATATGGTTACCAAGGTAAATTTGTATAACAACTACTGCATATTTGCGTAAGATGAAAAGAATGTTAAATTATCGATCAAACATAGAGCCAATTTAATAAATTAATTCCATGTACCGCTTCAGGAAGTCACTGACGACGATATCGATCATATCATCTCGGTTCATGGATGGGGCGTTGATCATGACAGTGGTGTGGAATTCTGGATTGGACGCAACTCATGGGGTACTCCATGGGGTGAACATGGCTGGTTCCGTGTCGTCACATCTGCCTACAAAAATGCTGGAAGTAAATACAATTTGAAGGTAAGAGTTTTGCTGGATCTCCGCGTAACGAATGAGTAAAAGTGCCCATCAGCGCGCGCGTACGCGACACGTGAGCATGACGTCATAGTAGCGCCGCGAAGTGATGAGGGTGAACATGGTAGAAATTGCTAATAGAAAGCTTATATATAGAGGAATTATAGAGGAAATTGCTTTACGCATAGAAGATTTCGCTGTCACGTTGCAACCAGCTTTCGCTTAATGCCTATCGAAGTAATGCATAGAAATAATAGTTATTCCCATCTTCATAGAAATATGATAACAAAATACTATTTCACAATAATCAGTACAATGGACCTGTCTTGCCAGTTTCTACCTTGGCTGAGCCACAATACTAGATTAGAGGAGGTGCCAGGCAGTGGAGCACACCAAAATCGCCATACTGAACAAGCAATCGAAAGACCACAAGAATTTCTCTTCAACGGAGAAACGAGGGAGGGATGGGGTTGCGATATTATGAAAAGGCATGGTAAAGTAGATTTTAGTGAACTTGTGAAACTGAAAACTTTTCTACTAGAGTTGCAGAGAAAGTTTAAAAAATTTTGAACCGTTCTTCAAGCAGTTTGGAAACGATTTTTGAAATTTCGTCGGTGAATTAGGTTTCAACAGCTCTTGACGGGGAAGGGGAATCGTGTTGGGGCCTCCTACAGAGCATGAGAGGAGTGAGTGAGGGGGGGGGGGGGCGTCCAAGTTCGGAACTGTCCCCCAAAATAAAAGGCACCCATTGTCTTTTAACCGTTGCGCGCACGCGCGACGCCCATCCCATCCGCGTTCGGCGTAAAACGGTCAATGCGTTACGCGAATTATCCCAAAAGCAATGTAGTTGTCGTCAAAACTTGTGTTGAAAAAAAAAGGAAGTTAAACGACCTTAAGAGCCAACGTGGCACCAGGCAGGGTGAAAATCGTGTCGAGTACGTGGTCGCAGAGGTACGACCCCCCCCCCCGAAATCGAGATCCTGGCACGACCCCCTCTAACAGAGCAAATTAATTCAATTAAAATAAATCCTGCAAAACAAATCAAAAAAAATTCTGCAAAATAATGCTAAGGACGCTTCATCTTGTCATCTATGCACGTCTTCCATCGCTGCATACTTTTGTGTACATACTGAAATATCGACTCGAGGAAAGAGGCATTAACTTTGTGTGACCTCAAGGCGAGGTTCGTTCAGAAACGCACAGAAATCCTGAAGACACGGGGTTGCGATTCAATCTTGATTCTTGCTTGAGTATATCAAAACAGCCGAGTGTATCAAAGGCCGATTCAACGGCAGCTGCGGCGCGATTGTCACTGGGTCAGATTTGCCGAAATTTCAAAAAAAAAACGTCCGAATCTACACCCTCGATGAAAAGGTTGCATTCCTCCATTTCACAACCTTTGAAGCAGCTTGAGGTAGAGTTAGATAGAGCTGGATTTCGCGTTTCCAACAAGCATCGAAATTGCTCTGGAAGCCTTCCTTGCAGAAAGATAGGGTCTGTCAAATTTCGTCGAGTAAATGTCGAGGAGGCCCAAATTTTCACGCGAGTTTTTGCCACTTCAAGAGCAATATATCTCTTATATTGTAAGATCCTGAAAAAGGGAAGATAGTTTTGGAAAGCGGAAGGTTTGCGCTTCCTGATGGTCTGTTTAGTTTTCTTCTACAGCTTTTTGGTTGAAGAGATAATTGCGTCGAGGATCTATCGAGGACGGATCCGGCCACCTGGAAATCCGCTCCCTCATTCACCATTGCAAGTGTGACTCGTTGGCAACACTCGGAATGTGTCTAGAACAATATCTTTGAACGCAAACAATAAGAATAGGAGCAATCGTCATCATCCGATTTGGTATTGGTATAAGCCATGCATCCCTCCTCCACTCACAGTTGCAGAATCGATTGAAAGGTGTTATATGATGGGGACCTTCGAACGAAACTGTATTGTAGTAGACATAGTGTGTTGTGCTATTCCTGTAACCTAAAAAACAACTTCATTTGCCCAGCGCTTTTTCTTCACGGTTGTCGTTTTTCCGACAGGGTCCCTAACAACAGCGTCATTCTCAGCGAGGTATTAAGGGAGAAGGAGCGAGTGATAGGCGGAGGAGGTGCCTTTGCAGCGCGTGCGCACATGTGGCACTCTTCTTTGCGGGGATGCACTTTCATTCTTTGTACTGCCTTCAAATACGCCCTTCTCATGAAGGTGGAGGAATGGAGCGACTGAACCTGCAAAGAAAATTTAATATCATGTTTTTTTCGGATGTTTTCATTTTCTGCTGCGCTATACCCTATTACCTATCTGCACCATGATACCACTTCTGTTACTGACCCCCAAGAGTACGACCCCCCATGGACCAGCCCAACAGGTACGACCCCCCTGTCGAGGATTTCCTCGACCGATATTCACCCTGCTCAGGAAGCAACGAAAAGAAAAATTGATAAAATTGTTGATACTACAGTGAAGAAATTCAATTACGAAGGTGTATACCCCTTAGCATCTTTTTCCTGTTGACAGTTGGTTAGCATAGCTATCACGTTTCATGGCACTCCTTGATGAGACTGCGTCTAATGGCAGGAAGCTCTCCACATTTACCTTTGCTACCTAGTCCATAAATTCCTATGAGCTTTCTCCAAACCCTGTATCTTCAAATGGTTTCTTAAACAATTTTATTCTCACGCTGAACGATTTTGCTAACCCTTTCCGTGAACATCCACCCATTTCCTCACCTGACAGACCTCATGAGAACGCCCCGCCTATTTTGTTGCTAATTCTGTGTACACTCCAAACTACACAATCAAAGACATCCCAGAGAAGTGAGCAGTCGGAACATTCTTCTTGGCAACGTCTTTACCACGTTGACGACAGCATGACGCCCATGCGCATCAGAATTTTTACCCGATTCTGGCCAGTTTTTTATGGTTATTTTGGCCTTTTTCATATTTCAAAACTGTGTGCATGCGTCATCTTATTCGAAGAAACTGTGAGGGTCATTACCAGTAGTGGAATTATTAAAGAAGTTATGGCGATTGCGAAAAAAATAAACAAAAAGTTGCCAAGGTACACGCATAAGGGCTGTCGTCAACGTTTTAAACTATGTTCTTTGAACCACGTCCTGCCCGTTACCAAAAACATTAAACATGACATATAAACTGCTGTGTAAAAAAAAGATATTATAAACATTCATTTCAGATCGAAGAAGACTGTGTGTGGGCGGATCCAATTGTATAATAAGATCTAATTTTGCAACACTTTTACACTATCTGTTAATAGTTGGTTCATATTAGAAAATCAATAAAAATTCTGTTTTCATTTTGTGTTATCAAAAAAACATAGAGAACTGCCGAAGCTGATGATTATGTTCCTGCTTGGCCTTTTTCCCGAGAGACTACAGGCTGTTTCTTGGGCACAACTCAGTTAACAATTGATCAGTGCTTAATGCTTCTATCCGGCGCATCGCAAAATATACGAAGGGACCAACTATCACGGGAGGGTCGTTCAGTGGCAAGCCAGCCTTTTATTTTATAACCGTTTTTTCTTGCATGTGCTGCTAGGCGGCTTACATCCGTAGATTACATGCCGTGTTTCATTTTTTCGCTGAACGGGTCCTCTGGGAGACAAAAAAAAACGGCTTCGCCTGTCGAAAAAAAATTCATCAGGAATGGGCGGCTTTTACAGCTTCGGAGGGACGTTTCGGACTCGTACAGAAGATCACCTGCACATTGAACGACGCTGATAAAGATGGTATCGATAAAAAGACGAAATTCGCCAAAAATTGCGTGCTGTCAGTGGTAGTGCCAGAACAATTAAAGGCACGCTCCGCGATCAGGCGGGCTCGCCTGTTCCATCCAGGGGGTAGTAGGCAGGTGGACAAGTGTTGATGTCGGGCCCCTTTTGCGGCTTGAAAGTACGCGACAAAGGCGCAAGGAGCTCGTCCAACCCGCAACTCACACCTTCGTCCGCAAGCCCCACCCTTCGCTGTCGGTTGCCACGTGGCGCTGCTTGAAAAGCGCGGGCGCATTTGAGGCAGTGGTCCCAGCGCGATCCAATGTTATAGGAGCAAGTAGAGTTAGGTTCGTGAAACTCGTCCAATTCGCCTCTTCTCTATCCCAAGGTGGAATGTGGCTGAAATAGGGGAGGTCTCTGTACGGGGCGTAATCGGTGGTTTCGTTTGCTTTCCTTCTCTTTTACGGACCACCTCCCACCTATAGCTTCATAACTGAACGCTTTTCCACACCTATTTTATCCCGAATCTTGCCTTTAAAGCAGGTCGTATAACTTCGGTCGGCTATGCGGCGGGTCTCCGGTGGTCTTGGTGATGGAGTGCCGGATAGCGAAAGGGTTGCAGGAAGGGTTTTTGGGGATCGAATCCGCTCTGTCTCAGGAATTTCGCATTTTCGATTGTCACCTCCAAATGAGCGGCAAATTACTTCAACGTCATATTTAACGCTATATTCACAATGAGAACCACCAGCAGACCCTGCAAATGGGTTTACTATCGAAAACTGGCAGAATGGATGAGTAGCGCCAAACTGGCGCCAAATGGCGCCGACGCCAATAAAGAACGCCATATTCGTGATCAGCACCCGATTTACCCCTATAGGCAAACTTTCGACGAAAATCGAGATTTTGACCTATCTTCGAAAAAGGAGGTGACCATGGGCCAGACGTCGTCATGCACGCCGGCGGGCGACTTGAAGACGAGCGCTGCGCGCACATCAAGCGGAACACCCTGATGATTCACGGAATCCAAAGCTCGGTTTCATAGGGAGCGTCTACCACGACGTCCCTGTCGAAATCGCTCCAGGTATGAGATGAGGTCCTACGAGTGGAAGAGCCGAGGACCGACATTTCATGTCTTGAAGGAGAGAAGAATCTGTCGACTTCATCTCATGCGGGTGCTGCTTTCCCAGGATCAGCTTGGCTGCTTGCACTATCCTATTCTGTAGCGGAATTTCTTATTATAGGAGGAGTACACGAAGAAACTCATTTTCCAATCGCTGGCTGGGAAGTACCCCATGGCTACTGACGACCTGTCGATGGCAATTTTTCGGAACTGGCTCGACCAATTTTTCTAAACTAATTTTGAAGAATATCCAATGCTCTGATCACGAGTATGACATCCGTTTTTCCAGACGGCCCAGTTTACGCCACTTCGGCACCATTTGGCACCCTTCTGGTGTTGCAACTTTTTTCCGCCATATTCCAGTTAAAATATGAGTTAATAATTACTGGTGGTCATGATAATAGATATGATACTTAGTTTTTGTCGCTGGTGTTATTTTGAGAAAATGAAAGGAAGCTCCAACTGAAATGCAAAAATTTTGTCCTCAGGGAGGATTGATCCTTGGACCATTTCCTCACCACATTTTGGCCTTCTCGGGGCCGTTCAGCGAAAACGGACCTTGGTTCTGTAGTCCACGCATGAAATCCTATAACATGCAAAAAACCGTTTTGAAAAAGGCGCGGCTTGCCCTGAACGAGCCTCCCTTGTTAGGAGAGGGGGACTAGGCCTAGGAGGGAGCAGGAATTTCGGGGACAGTGAAAATGGCTACGCCCCCTAGAGGCTCTTCTCCCCCGTTTTAGCATTTAACAAGAAGAACATGTTTTACGCGATTTTGAAAGCATTGCCACCGCATGTCCCCGTATCTTGCGATAGCAACCCTTTATCCTTTAGAGACAACTTCATGTGGAAAAATTCAAAAAAGGTCACGTTAGTTTTATGCCCACAAATTATCAATGCGGTCCCTTATCTCTTCTGCGGAAACCCATCAGGTCCCTGCCATCTGCTCGGACTGCTAGTTTTTCCAACGATTTCCTCGACGAGAACTTCGAACAAAGACGAATGGGTACACGCATCTTGCGCCATACAACAAGACAAAGCACCGGGGAGAGTGGGCCGTGGGACGGACAGCTGGCTGGTACGGGGTTGTCCAAAAAAATCGCTTGTTTTGGAAGTTTTTTCAGCCCGAGAAGAAGCACTCGATGACCTTCGTCGCCATTTATTTTTTTACCCATGTTGCTCCACCAGCTGCACTAGGTGTGTCACACGGCCACACAGAAGAAAATTGATTTGGTTTTTTAATGTTTCGAACCTACCAGCGTGTTTATTTAATTATTTATTTATGCTCCCGTTAGAGGCCTTTTAGTACTGGTGGTACAGGGCAGTTATAAAAATTAGGGTACTATCAGCAGTGGACCGGATGTGCTGTAAAAGTGTGCACGGCCATCTTCTACGCGAGTGGTCTGAGGGTGAGATCCAGTCGAACATTGCCCAAGCCAGGCAAGCTTTCCATTCATTTGGAAGTCGCTCATTTAGTAAGAAACTGGTCTGCGGAACAACAAAATTCAATGCACTGGCTGGACCATGCAAGTTACTATTGAAGACAAATCGCATTCAAGTGCCACTATGACCCGAATAGAAGTGGAGTGCATGGCCCACCCCAGAAAAGGATTAGTTAGCGGTGGACGCTTCAAAATTGTACTTTTAACGACGACTAGAAGTACTCATGGAACATCACTTCGCTGTACAAAGGCGCAACAGAAGTAGTCTGCGGGGCAAAAGAATCATCAGGAGATTGGAGAACAGGTGAATCTGAGCGCTCCGTTAACAGCAGTTCCGCATCGCCGGAAGTTCATTGTAGAAAACTTAACGGAACGCATATGGACTCGGGGTGCAGACGACAAGATACTGCTGAGATTTCCTAGTAGCTAAGTAGTTATTGATGGATAACGACCAGTTAACCATAAAAAGATGCAGAGGTACATAGTCTCGCATGTGGTCCGCAATGAACTGAAGTGGAAGGCGCTTCACTAGTGCACTCGCCTTTGCTGGCAAGGCTGAACAATAGGCAGATCTACCAGCAGACTTTTGAGTGGAATAAAAGGATGAAAGACAAGGCATTCGGAGGTGATCAGCCCCTTTCAGGATGTGCCAGGCACGGTAACTCCATTCAGAATCGTCTTGGCTTCTTTAGCACAATTTGGCCTATAAGTGGGCCCATCCAATGTAGTCAGTGTTTTTATCCTCTCGGACAAGTCTGGTACCCATTCGCCAACCTGGATAGATGGAAGGCTTTGTTGGCCTTGGCGCGTACTTGAAGATTTGATTCCTGAGCCGTGCACGTGGTAAGCAACCCTACCTGTCTCTATCCCCTTTAGCCAGGGTGGAACAGAAGTAAACAGATACATAAGACCAACAACCTTCCAATCGCCTCAACCAATTCGAAGCAGCGAAGAATCATGAGTTGAGATTCGACGAAGAGAGGAATGAGGAAGGGCACTGTATTGGAATGGAGCCCCAGGTGGAAACCGTATGAGATGGGATCGTCAGGGCACCCTTCGAATTGGCGAAAATAGAGTTTTTACGCGGAATATTTGTAAATTTTCATCAGAATCTCACTTTTTCACTGCCATTTATAGATGCGATGGTCCCCCTAAAAAATGTAGCTCACCCATCACATTTTGAATCCGCCCTCTCATTTCACCCAGTGGTTAGTTGGCTTAATAGGCGGAACTGCGCTGCCTGTAGGCTCAAGATCGAACCTAATGCCACACCACTGTTTTCCCCCATCCTCAAGCGAGCACCGGAGCCCTTTTCGCGGAATGACCAGTGTATCGCTAATGAACTCCATAGGTCACTGACTAATGGCCGTTGTATCCACCCACCATTACGACCTCCAATTGTTTGAACTTTCCGCTCAGATGAACTCCTTCAAAGAAGTCCCGAGAAAATCCATTGCAACGTGAAGGACAATGATTACAAGGAAGGACAGACGTCAAATCTCACGAGCTCTTGATGTTTGCAAAATAGACTTTTTACACAAGTAATTTTTGAACAGCTTTGCTCTCTGGAAAAACCTATAAACAACAAAAACGACTAACCATACCGCTCATACCGGCCAAAAGAACTGAGAACTGAAAGGCTTTCATTTCATATCACAAAACAGAGAAAACCTGCGAACTTTTTTTGACTTGTTTTTGTTGTTAACTGCTGTTTTTGGCCGCAGTTCGCCTTGCGAATGTTTCACAAGAATGCTGGGTTGTGAACAAAACTTTCGCCCCAGGCGGGACTAGAACCCGCAGGTGCCGGGTTCTAGTCCCGCCTGGGGCGAAAGTTTTGTTCACAACCCAGCATTCTTGTGAAACTGCTCGGCTGTTTTGCCACCATTGATCACTTCTTAAATGCCCAAGAATATCATGGCCGACTCCAGCCAAAAATAATGGTTGGCACAGTCCAAATATACTGACATATATCAGCTAACTAATCAAGAGTATACCAATACCATCCGACTTTATGCGCTGAACCACAAATTATAAGGAAAAAACAAGTGCATGGCGCCGGCACGTTTTGAGAAAGAAACAAGATAACTTTCTTTCTTATGTATATTTTATTTCAAATATGCAATGAAAATATACATACAACGTAGCAATAAATAATAATGGTACATGAATGAATGCAGTGTGATTTCCTTTGAGGGGATGATGTTAATGATTTCTGTAGAGGATCGATATATCGATCGATATCGACATTTGTGAGAATAGGGTACTCATAGGAATACACAAATAACAACATTTATACAATATATGAACTAGGCCTTCAGCACTCCACCACCACAAAACCGGGCAGGAGGGGCGCTTTTAGCGGACGGGCAGCGTGCGATTCATCGTTGAGAGGAGGCATCCATTGAGAGGAATTTCATATGTCGTCGAGTGATGAAAGTGAGAGTAAAAGGGGCGGTGATTTCACAGAGGCACCATGGGATGACCATAGAAATTAGTTATCCCAGACCTACACACACACAACCGATACATAGAAAAATTGAAAATCTACAACAAATTGAAAATATTTAGAAAAATAACAATTTAGTGCTAAAAGGAGTGCGTGAGGGGGTCTTATAGAGGTGTTCAGAGAAAACGAGCAAATCAATAAACCTTTCAGGGTAGGCGTGAGAAAAACAATAGAAACAAGAAATGCACACTGAGCATTTGAAAATAGCGAAAGCCAGGTTAAATAGCAGTTTTGTGGAAGCTTTCTGATATAAAACATCGTCAACGACCCGCATGCATTGTGAACAATGTGTCTGTGAATGAATGAATTAAGAATGAATGAATGAATGATAAAAGAATGAATGCATGAAATAATGGTCAGTATATCATCATTATCACCATTTCTTATCAGTTGCCTAAGAATTAGTAGCAGAACTCAGGACATAAAACGAAAGCTGTGTAGAAAAACAAAAAATATGAAAGAAAACAACTAAAAATACTTTTGATATATGTGTAGTAAATGTTTGCAGAATACTTTTCACCGAGATATCGATTGGCTACAGATCATCACGAAGGAATGGACACGATTTGGGGTTGGGACATGAGAGGGGCGCTATTTTGACATTTTGAAGAACATCTTCTCCTAATTTACTACTCACGACGTGAAGCGCTGCTCCCATGTGGCCTGAAAATTACTTCAATAATATTGCGTCATAAAACAACCAAATACATGATGAAGAAGCAAATGAGTAATAAATAAATTCTTATCAAAGTCTGTAAAGGCCGATGTCAGACTTTGCGAATCGAGCCATTCGCTAATAGCGATTCGCTAGGGCGGTAGCGTCGCGTACAGCGAATGGCTCGAATTCGCAAAGTCTGACATCGGCCGAAGAGCGAGGAAGTACGACAAAGTGTGAAATTTCACAAAATTTCAAAAACTCCCTTAGCTACAAAAAAAACTTCTTAATATCCTCCCATATCTTTCCAGGAATAGGATGCCACTTTGCGGAATGGGACCCCCTCAAATAGCACGCCGTACGACACTCCCCCTGGGCTATGAAAGCACGACGAATTGGCTCTGAATCCCCTCATTTCATATCCACTTCCAGAAATCGATTAGGATCCCTGTGCATCCCTATGCAAAAGTAAGGGATGAACAGAGTGTCTGCAAGTGTTTTCTAAACTACAGTACTCCCTACCGAAGATGAAGGATAAACCACTTCAACAGTTCGATGATCAGCGTCATTAGAGGTTTTATTCACTTGTTTACTAGGCGAAACCCAAGCGGGAGAAGGAAAAAAATCTGTTCATTGATGTTCGATGTAACTCTTTAGTAGTACACCAGTATTGGATTGCCACTACACCAGTAACTCACAGGTTGTCGCTCTGTGTCCGGTATAGAGCCGAGAGACTCCAACGTCACCACCGATACCGTGTCCTTTTCATCTTCGTAGATTCGAATTTCATCAAATGGAGCCGCATTTTGATCCGATTCAAGATCATGTAGTTGAGATCGCAACCTGTCATCTGGAACAGAAGCACTTCAGAAACGAATAAAATACAACAGATAATCGATCAAGATAACAAACTGTAACCGACAACTCACCAATCGGCGGTCGGGTGTACATCGGTGCCGGTGGGCCCATTATGCCGTTACCTTCTATTGGCATTACTGGTTTCCGTAGATTTGCTATCGAGTACTTAAATAAAAATACCTTTAACCATGTCAAATTGAAATACACCCCTGACTGCTAGATTCATGTAACGTCCATGGGAAAAATGATCGATAAAAATACCTGATCATTGTCCGCTTCACCTCCACCTTCGATGGCATACGGTCGGAGATTATCACGATTCAGATCTTCTGGTCGAACCGATTCGAACGGTGTCGTTTGACGACGAGCATACACCAACATCAGCATGACTAGCACTGGAAATCAGGCATTAAATTACCAAGTAAATTAGAGAAAACGAATACATAAAAATACACCCTATTTCTAGACACCAGGCCCCAAATAAGCTTCTGTTGTTAGTCTCAGAGGATTGCGCGAAGGGAAAAATATACAGTGAAAGGAAATCAGCATCCTGAACAGTATGTCTAACCTTACCTTCTCTCAAAATACTTGGTGTATTTCAAGAGTTTTTGGATACGTTTAGAAAAAAACGGTATAGGGAGTTTCGCACGATTGAATGCGCGCGGTCGCGTCGCGGTGAGCAAGTCATTCAATAGTTTCTTACCGCGACACGACCGCCCGCAACTTATGCAGAGCTTACTATATTTTTTTTACTTTTTCGAATCTAACAAAAATTGTTGACATAAACTTTCCGAT